GCATTAATTGCGGCCTTACGCCCAAATATAGGTGTTCAACATTCAGGAACTGAGAATCAAACTGCAATACATGATAGTGAAATACTGAATCAGATTGAGTTACATGATACTGGAATACTGGATCACACTGAGTTACATTATACTGGAATACTGGATCACACTGAGTTACATTATACTGGAATACTGAATCATACTGAGTCACATAATACTGGAATACTGAATAGGACTAGAATGAGACATGTATTCTTGAACTGGTTATGAACATTGAAACGACAACTGTTTATGACATGCTGAGTAAGCTATACTGAGACTTTGGGGAATCAAACCCAAGTCTATATTGAATACAAACTGAGCTCACAACGTTCGAAATGAAAGTTATGAACGAGTTATGAAGCTAGAGAATAGAAGTTCTACAACTATTCAAGGAACTAGGCTTAACTATATTTCTGAGGCAATTGATACGTCGTAAAAGAAACGTAGTGTAGGGAGAATCATTAAAATTCCCAAACATAGAAAGTTAGCCTCACATACCTTAACTTCCTGCTCTTGAGTGTAATACAACCTTCGCCAACCCTTTCAACTTTAATCTATATCAATACAAGTCAAAGGGATTCCATATTAGCATAAATTCTCATGTTTTAGTCACTTAAACATTTTCTCAAACACTTGGTGACATAAAGCTTCATGGTCCTTATTAATGGTGTTTCTACACCCAACAAGCCATTCTCTTGATCCTAGATAAATTCTAAAGTCTCAAATGGTTATAATCAACATTATTCTTCATCACCCATAAGGTAAACAACACTCTTAACCAATAATCAACACTCAACACCCCAACCCTATAATCGTTCATGCTTTTCTATCAAACCCATCAACTCATATCTCATGCACTAGGGTTTATAATCATCAAACCAATGCTAGAATCAATTAGAGGGTGAAGATATTACCTTTTTGACGTTCAATCTCCTTGAATTCGAGTTCTAGGGTTCCTTCTCTCAACAACGATGTCCCAATCGAATATCTAATGATATGGAGGGTTTACCCATGTTAATAAGATGTTGAAAAATTGAAATTAACTTAGAATCACCATTAGAACTTACCTTGGATGGTGGAAGGACTCTTAAGGAGTTAGGTTTTTTAGAGTTCCCCTTTCTAGAGCAAATTTTTATGTTTTGGGGTTGTGGGGGACGAAATATAGCTTTAAAACGACCCCCCACTAGCGCGCCCGCGCTACTGGAGGCTTGCCCGCGCTACTGACCGCGCTAAATGGCAGTAACACTGCCTCAAAATTAGCGCGGCCGCGCTACTGGGCGCGCATGCGCGTACTGTTCCGTAAAACGCACATAACTTTTTGCAAAGAGATCTGCTCGAGCTCCATAATATATCGTTGGAAAGCTATTTCAAAGGCCTACAACTTTCATGTTTTGAGTTTTCCTAAATGCCTTACGCATTTTCAATAAACACTGATAGAATACAGACCTTCTGCAAACTTAGTCGATTTTGTCAAATCTTATGCGCCTCACTTTCCATCTTGATTTTTAATCAACTATTTTCACCCATAATCATCTCGATGGGACTTCACATGCTCAAAATATATCCTTACTACTCCTTTAACTCATTCATACCTAAGCCGAATTTGCGGGGTGTTACAATTGTGCCATATTGGAAGAGTAAGAGGTTTTTGATGGGTAAATAAGTAATTGCTCTTATTCTAACTCTTTAAGAGTTGAGAAGAAGGCAAGCCTCGCGCCGTCTCGGCTCGGCATCGGCATTAACAGAAATGTTATCCGTTATCCGTTTTTCAGTAACCTCCCTCTTGAATTCCCGATTTATTGTTACATAAATAATCATTTATGTTATAGGATTTATGCTATGACCGTTTTGCATAAACAGTCATTCTGAAGAGTTCCACCTCTTCAGTTTTCAGCCCAACCTTGACTATAAATACAAGTTCATTCTCTCGGATTTTCCATATGATTTTCTGAGTTCTCCTTCTTTCTTCTGCATACTTTTAACTTCAAAGAAAGCAATAGTAAGTGTGATTTTGCTACCGAACTTTGTGTTCGCTGAAACACTGGGGTTTGAGTACCACTACACCAGTGTGTAATTCGTTCTATCTTGGGAGGAAATAATCCATAACCTTGGGTACTAGGAGGGGATTAAATTCCTTAAGGGAATACTGTGAATTCAGTGGGCTCGAATTAATTTTTTTTTGGTTTACAT